ATTCCATTCTCTCCCAGTTTTTCTATCCTTCAAATTCCATTTTGTTGAATGATTCAACTTTATATTTTTCTTATATTTTTCCTGATTCCTAGTTCTAGATCATTCAAGTCTACTATATTTTTCCATAATCAGTACTGCATGATTTACACATATGCTAGCAATTTCCAAATTTACACATCCTGTTCAGATATCTCCCATGAGTTCCAGACACTATAATCATCTACAGAATTTGCAACCCAGGTGGATATTCAAAGTAATTTTGAAGTCGGCATGTTCAAAATCAAACTCCTAAAAACTTGCGGCTGTATCTGTCTTAAACCTTTTAAAACTGGGTATTATAAGATAATTTTATTTATCTGCATTCTGCATGTGGAGCCATTTTGTGTAAATTCTAAATATTGTGAATTTCGCCGGCCAAGTCCCGTACATAAGAATTCTATTCCTGTATAAGCGGTGTGGTGGATGGCGCTTGGTGTAGATGGAGTGTAATGGAGAAGAATGAGACAAGACGTGATCAGTATTGAAGTCCTTTCTAAACACCAGATAGAGAGAGAGGGAGAGAGAAAGATATGATGTCACTGCTGTTGTTAGCTGCCGTCGAGTCAGACTCCAGTCTGTGGTGATCCCATGTGTTACAGAGTAAAACCACTCCATAGGGTTTTCTTGGCTGTAATCGTTATGGAAGCAGATTGCCAGGCCTTTTCTCCCATGGAACCACTGGGTGGATTCAAACTGCTAACCTTTCGGTTAGCAGCTGATCAGAAGCTGCTTGCAGCACCCAGGCTCCTAGATAGATAGATAGATAGATAGGTAGATAGACAGATAGATAGATAGATAGATGACAGACACATACATACATACATATGTGCACTGATGGATGGATAGATAGATGGATGATAGATAGATGACAGACACATACATACATACATATGTGCATTGATGGATGGATAGATAGATGGATGATAGATAGATGATAGACACATACATACATACATATGTGCACTGATGGATGGATAGATAGATGGATGATAGATGATAGACACATACATACATACATATGTGCGTTGATGGATGGATAGATGATAGACACATACATACATATGTGCATTGATGGATGGATAGATGATAGACACATACATACATATGTGCATTGATGGATAGATAGATGATAGACACATACATACACACATATGTGCATTGATGGATGGATAGATGATAGACACATACATATGTGCGTTGATGGATAGATAGATGATAGACACATACATACACACATATGTGCATTGATGGATAGATAGATGATAGACACATACATACTTACATACATATGTGCACTGATGGCAGTTGCTAAAGCCTATCCCCAATTCTCAGTTTTCATCTTTCCTGTCCTATCAGCATTTGAAAGAGTTGATCAAGTCTCCTAGAAACACTTTTATTACTTCTTTATTTTAAATTGTTGTGCTTTAAGTGAAAGTTTACAATTAAAGTTAGTCTTTCATACAAAAATGTATACATACATTGTTACGTGAGCCTAGTTGCTCTCCCTGTACTGTGACAGCACACTCCTTCTTTCCACTCAGGATTCCCCATGTCCATTCAATCAGCTCCGGACCCTCTCTGCCTTCCCATCTCACCTCTTTATAGGAGCTGCCAATTTAGTCTCATGTTTCTACTTGAGCTAAGAAACACACTTTCACAAGTATCACTTTATGTCCCATAGTCCAATCTAATCTTTGTCTGAAGAGTTGGCCTCGGGGGCCATGTCTTCTGGGGTCCCTCCAGTCTCAATCAAACCAGTAAGTCTGGTCTTTTTACTAGAATTTGAGTTCTGCACCCCACTTTTGTCCTGCTCCATCAGGGACTCTCTGTTGTGTTCCCTGTCAGGGCAGTCATTGGTAGTAGCCAGGCACCATCTAGTTCTTCTGGTCTCAGGCTGATGAAGTCTCTGCTTTATGTGGCCCTTTTCTGTCCCTTGGCCTAATACTTTCCCTGTGTCTATGGTGTTCTTCATTCTCCTTTACTCCCGGTGGCTGGGACCAATTGATGCATCTTAGACGGCCGCTCGCTGGCTTTTAAAACCCCAGATGCCATTCACCAAAAGTGGGATGTAGAACATTTTCTTAATAAACTTTGTTAAGCCAGTTGACCTAGATGTCCCCTGAAACCATGGTCCCCAGACCTCTGCCCCTGCTACTCTATCCCTCGAAGTGTTTGGTTGTATTCAGGAAAGTTCTTAGCTTTGGTTTAGTCCAGTTGTGTGACTTTCCCTGTAGTGTGTGCTGTCTTTCCCTTCACCTAAGATGGTTCTTATCTACTATCTAGTTAGTGAATACCTCTCTCCCTCCCTCGCCACCCTCGTAACCATCAAAGAATGTTTTCTTCTGTGTTTAAACCTTTTCTTGAGTTCTTATAATAGTGGTCTTATATAATATGTGTCCTTTTCCAACTAACTGAATTCACTCAGCATAATATCTTCCAGATTCCTCCGTGTTAACTTTTATTACTTCTTCAGTGACATTCCAGTACTGTCCCCCACTCAGTTTTTCTCCAAGCTCTCGGACCAGTCCTGTTTAGTCTCCTTTACTCTTTAATTTTTGTATGATACAGTTTCCTAAACTTGGAGCTCTATCTTTCGTCCATGTACCTCTCTTCTTTGGTGAGCTTATCTAGCCTTCTGACTGTAAGGGCCATCCTTTTCTGAGAATTCCCAAATTTATATCTTGAGCCAACATTTTGCCATTGAACTTCTGATGACTCACACATGTAACTGTCTATGATGCCTCTACCTGGATATCTAGTAACATAGCCTACTTGATATGTCCAAAACGGAACTTCTCACTTCCCTTTCTTCTTCAGCCATTTTCATCCTCTTAGTTAGTGGACTCCAGCCTTCCAATTGTTGAGGATCCAAACCTTAGATTCATCCTTGTCTGTTCTTCCTCTCACACCCAACATTAAATCTCTCAGCAAAACTTGCTGGCTCTAACTGGGTGTTCAGACTCCGCTGCTGCAACACTGATCTGTGCCATGATCACCACTTATCTGGGTCATCGTCTTCCTGATTTTATCCTTGCCCTTTTCAAACTATTCTCAGTAGACTGCCAAGTTCTAACAAACATGCCAAGCCCTGGTGTATCTGGCTCCTCTTACCTCCCTGATTGCGTTTCCTACTAAATTCCCTTCACTTAGTCCTGTCTAGTCACACTGGTCTTGAGAGTTCCTGACACTTCTAAGAACTCTGTTACATTAGGATATTTGCAATTGTTTTCTCCTGGAACGTGTTTCCCCCAGATGTCGGCATGTATTATTCTCTTCCATAATTCAGGATTGTATTCTAAATGCAATTTCTCAGTGTGGCCCTATGTAAAATTGCAGATATTCCACCCTGACACCACGTACTTCTTTTTTTTCTTTTTTACAGTTTTATTTTTTTTAACTATTTTTTTAATTGATGTAATTAAATGAAGTTTACATTTCAAGTTAGTCTCCCATACAGAATTTTTTTTTTGTAACATACATTGTTATGAGACCCCAACCTCTCACCCCTTTCTGTGACAGCACACTCCTCCCCTCCACCCCTGATTCCCCATGAACATTCAACCAGCTCCTAACTCTCTCTGCTTTCCCCTCTCACCTCTGGACAGAAGCCGCCCCTTTGGTCTCTTATATCTACTTGTCTAAGAGGCACACCACATACTTCTAAGCTAGAACTTTTTTCTAAATAGAACTTATTGCCATCTGTGCAATATGTTCCATAAAGGCATAATTTTTGTCTGTTTTGTTCACTTATATAGACTTGTGACCTGGAACAGTGTCTGGCACAGAGAAAGAATGAAGTTGATGAAATATGGAATGACAAAATGAATGAATGGCAAAGGAGGAAAGAAGAGAGAGAGGAAGGGAGAGAGACAGAGAGATTTTGCGTTCTTACTAACAATAGCCCCTTTGGAAAATTTTATCTTGCTTATATTATAATTCTGAAAGAATAATGTATTTAAAAAGAAGTTATATTAAATATTATTTTAAGTGAACCACAGATGCTCTAAAACTAAAACAAATCAGAACTGGAAAAATCTACAAAGACTTAAAATCTGACAGAATAATATACTTCAGTTAGCTGGTTCAATAAATACACATTTGTCAATATTGGACTCTGGAATTAATATTGGCAGCAAAATAAATTCTTCATATTTTTACTGTGTTACCCAAATTTATTGGCATTCACACAAATTTATAGTTCAGTATATTTGTAATTGCCATTTTTTATTTGATACATATTTCAAAATTATTTTTAATGTGAGACTTTGAAACTGTTAGGCAGATTAAACGATACTTGAATGTTAATTGAGAAGTTACAGGGTATACAATTCCTACTTAAAAACTTGAAAGCCAGCTAATTCTTTTGGGGTTCTCTGGTAACTAATAAGGGGTGATGTCAAATTGAGAGGCAGTTCTGACTGAAGCAGTCTGTGAATAAATAATAGAATTATTGTCAACTTCAACCTTAGAGAAGTGATACAGGGTCCAATTCTAAGGTAAATTGAAGGAAACAAGTTGAAAAGTCTTTTTTTAAAAATCTTTTTAGTGAATTTTCCACTTTATTTGTCTTTAAACTTTTCCCCTCATCAACAACTTATGATTAAAGCAGAGCCATTAGAGACGAATTCAGGAAGCATCTTTCAGTATCTGTTGAAATGAAATGAAATGGCCCAAGGCATTTGAGAGGCATTATTGTTCCTTTATTGATCCATGTTCATGTAATGTACTGGTTTCTTAGAGAAATGTGCGTCCTCTAAGAATGATTACCACTCCTGTGGGACAATTTTACGTAAGTATTTTTTTTTAATAAGAATTGTATGGCAATGTCTACTGGGTGTATGTACAACTGAACATTTCGATAAGTTTGATTAGTTTTTAATTGTAATGATACTTTAAATCAGACTCTAGATCAAATATTTACTTCCAGATTTTGACCTAATGCTATGTTTTACTTCCAGCAGGAAAAAAGCCAAGAAAGTTCAAGAATCAAAGGTAAGGAATGCATGTTTTAAGATCATAGTCAAATTAACTGATAGAAGTACAGGTAAAAAAAGAAGAAAGATTTTGCACTATTTTGTAAATAATGTTAAAATGAGAAAATGATATCTCAGAATTTTCCACCTGATTTTAAAGCCAGTGCGAGCCCTATGGGAATTCCCCAGGACCAGGGAAGATTCTCTATGTTCCTTTTTCATATTGTGCTGTTCAAAACTTCAGGAGAATGTTCTCTTTAATTCCTAGATAGTTTTGGTGAAATTTCTGCTTCAGGCATTGTCTTTAAAGTGCGTCCACAAATCGGCAGATGAATCTCTTCAAAATATGTTTCAGGGAGAACCGATTACTTAGTCACTGCCATCTCATTGTATTTTCTGTGAACAAACCAGAAAATATTTACATATATACTAAAAGCTAGGAATAGTGCTTACTATGGTAGAGTCACCTCTAATCAGTCACGGGGAGGCTAGTTTCCTTACAGAGGTATGCTTACGTTTTGAAATTCAATCACTGAGATAATAAATTACTTCCGATAGATTGCCATCTTTCAACAAAGGTTTCCATTAACTTGTGCTGCTGTTGATCTTAGTGACAGAACTTCCCAGGTTTGGCCTGATCTCAGCCTCCTGGCCTGTCCATTCAGGTGTGTGTCCTTCTACATTTTGGTCCTCCTAGCCCACCGTCCCCTTCCCAAAGGCGTCTCAGGCCCAAGCCTGACGATGGAGCCCAACACAGTCTTCCTGTTTTCTTTTCTCCTCTCCTTTTTGCCTAGGAAGACATGTTCACTGAGAATCTTTTTCCCAGAGTTCCACAAAAATAATAATTAGTTGTATGTACGTTACTAAGTGACATGTGCTCCTGTAAGCGTGAAAGCACGATTACATCTCTGAGGGTCTCTGTATTGGCAACACCAATCTTGCTTACTTGTAACAATCTAAATATAATCATCTCTGCACATTTTCTCACAACTGATTGTCTTCTACAATAAATATCTTTGTGTTCCGTCATCTGCGTAGGTCTATATTATGAATATGAAAATGCATACATTTTTTTTAAAAGTTTGCTGGATATATTTTATTTAGATGATTAATGTAAGACTGCCTTTCCAGGGATTCTTGACTTATTTGTGTTCATTTTCAGCATATTGAAGTACGACTTGTTATTTTATATGTGAAATTATTAGACTTACTTATTCTCAAAACACTCATATTACCTCAAAGCTTTACACTTTTGTGCTACAAAAGGGAATTTCAGTTCCAAGATATGCTGCATAATGTACATTCGAATGATATCTGTATTTCAGGCGTATGGTGTGTACAGCTTTTTTCTCATGAAGGTCCCAGTGTTTCAGGTTAACCTTAAATTATGTTTGTTATTCTGTTACAGTAGAAGTAAATTTAGAGTAGCTTCCTTCTTGATGGCTTATTGCCTTGGGCTACATATATCATATCATCTGAGGGAGTAGAAATTACATTTTTCCAACTACTGTCTAGGAATATTTTGTTTTTTCTTCTGTAATGTAATGAAAAATTAGGATGATGTTCGTCACTTCTTTCAAAGTTATTGACACAAGGCTTAGATCTCTCACTTGCATTATGGCTTCTAGGCTACGGAGTTATAAGTAAAAATCGTGTGTGTGTGTGTGTGAACGTTATAATTCACACACACATTATATATAATACACACACGATATATATAACACACACACACACACACACACACACACAGTTATTTTAGAACTTACTGCCTTTCTCTACTTAGAAGAATTCAACATTTTTACTGAGTATTTTTGGAAATCATCCTGAAATTGTGTCTCACTGGAAATTCTGAATGTTTATTTTAAAATGTTTTTAAATGTAAATATATTGGGAGAATACATTTGGGGACATAAAAGCAATAGCTTATCCATTGGTAGGTGACACAAACTCCAAAATTCAAATATTTTACAAGCCTTGGCAACTGATGATTGAATTGTGAGCTGTGTCCTCACCTGATATTAATAACCAATTCTAAGCTATAATTCTCTTGGCTTCCTGAATAATTGGTAATCTCATTTACCAGAATAGTTTTATAACACTAACAGAAATGTCTCTAGAGGAACTCTTTAAGCTTCTAATTTCCTGCGTTCTGTGCCTATTTCTGCTTATGACAGCAATCTTAAATTAATAATACCAGTGACTTGAAATTACATTAAGGCAAACAGCATTCCAGTGAAAGTTGAGTCTCCTTTTTTCCATGTACACAGAGATAGATACCTATATGTTTTCCGACTTGCAACTCTATTTCTAACTGAATAATTATTTGACGCTCACATATGTTCTTATTCTAATGTAATTTGAAAATACTATAAAACAGCCTTTTCTTTTTATACCTATTCTAAAAGTATATCTATATGAAGATCAACATAGAAAGTAAGTTTTGGTTGAACAAGTATTATGCTATTGGATTGTCAATTGATTTTAGTGTGTGGATTGCCTATTGTTAAATGAATGAAGGCTCTATTTAGTACATAAATTTGGGGGTTGCAATTGTTTAAGATATTTTTCCTTAAAATTGTGTTGAAGGTTATAACAAGAGAAAGAAGACACCGGTAATGGTTTGAACAAAAGAATCCACTATAAAGACAGTCATCTTTAGCATTTGTCTTTGATGAAATGAAAGATAAAACATTAAAAAGTTCTGTGCATTAGAATCTATTGAAAATGTTATAAATATTATTGGGAAGCAATTTCTTCTGAAGAATATTTCTAAAATAAAGAACACAATCAATCAGCTTCTGTGGATATTTCTCAGGGAGTTGTTAAATTTAGGGTTGTTTACTTCTTTATATTCAAGAGTGGTCGGTCTTTCAAGAGCTTTCAGTGATGAAACAATAACCGTTTTGAGGAGAATTTAAATAATTCTTGGTTTACAAACACTTTAAAAATTCTGTCAACCTAGAGTTTGTGATTTTCTAAAGTAGTTTAAAACATTTGCTACAGTAGGAAGGATACTGTCATTCATGGAATGGTGATGCTCTGACATGTCTCTGAGCATCAGCTGCCCCTCACTCTGTCAGTTAAGTAATGCTCCACTCTCTTGTTGACCCAAACAGCCCAGTTGCTTTTATGACACAACCTTCCCCAGTTTTCAAGTGAACGCTCTTGGCTCTTCCCATTAAACATGATTAAAGTAAAACACATATTTGACTGAAACTTCTGTTTGTATTTTAGTGTTTTTGTTTGTTTTGAAGTCTCTACCAAAAGGGAACAGTGAAGACTCCAACTGTTTCCCTGAAGACCATTCACATGCTGTTCCTAAAGCCTGCGTTCTGTTAAAGGTCTGACAGGGCCAAGCACTGCTCTTGGAGCTTTAGTTATATTATCTCATTTTAACCTTCACGCGAAGGTATTAGCTAAGACAGAGCATTTGCCATCCTAGTATTTTGAGAAATCACATCCAAAGTGAATAATTCAAGTCAATATTGTCATTTGTGTTCTCTGTAAAAATGGGTCATATTTTATTTAAACAATTACCAATTATACATTAAGTAAGACTATCATATTGTTTTTAATGATGCTTTTTTCATAGATGTGGTAGATGTAGATTTTTTTTTTTTTTCTTTGATTGTTATAGATATTTTCTCTAATACGTATGCAAACACACACACACACTGGTCAGTGATTTGTAACTTTAAGAAAAAAATGGGCAATGATAAATTGGACACAATAATTTTCTAAGAAACTTATCTAGGTCTTGTGCCAGCTTGTTCATGAAATACTTGTGATCTTAAACAAATGACTTAAGCCCTCTAGATTGAATTCCTCTTTTACGATAAATATTAGCACAACAGAGCCCGTGATATCAAAAGTCCTTTACACATCTGATGTCTAAGGAATTTTATAAAAAACAACATTGGACAATGCTATTAGTACAAACACTTATCTTTAAAACTTCTGTGATTCTCAGTATGTTCCAAGTGGTATATATGAAAAAGGGAAGAGGCCCAAGTGTTCTCCATATGCTCTTCCGACATGCTTGCATACATCAAACAATCAAGGAACATGTTGAGATCATAGTTATCAAAATAAAATTGTGTGTTTGGGCAATAAATGTGATTAAAGAATTAGGAAAGATGCAGTCTTCATACACACGCGGTCTTCTGTTTGTCTGTATACATACATGTATTTGTCCTTTACATCCTGCGTTATCAACCGGCAACTGGAGAGCACTGAAAATTGAGTTATATATATAATATATATATATGATATGTATGTATCCATATAAAACAAACAAATCCACTGCCGTTGAGTCAATCCCAACTCATAACGACCCATAGAACAGAGTAGAACTGTCCCATACAGTTTCCAAGGCTGTAATGTTAAGGAAGCCGACTGCCACGTCTTTCTCCCACTTAGCAGCTGTTGAGTTCGAACAGCCGACCTTTTGGTTAGCAGCCGATCGCTTTAGCTACTGTGCCACCAGGGCTCCTTTATACATACATACATACATATCAATTAGGTTGTGAGGAGGAGGGTTGCTAAGAATTAGGGAAGATGGGAATGCTGACCATATAATGCCGATTGTCTGAATATTCAGAGCTTTTTCTGCAACAATAACCTCACAGAGTTGCCGACATTGGCTCACTTCTCAAGGTCAGTTAACTAAAAGCCATTGAATACATTACATGAACAAATGAAAATACCATATAAAACTGAATCTGGTAATTCCTGTATCTGAGCCCTTTATGAGCCTCCTTGTCTAATTGTTGTAGGTCTCCACGTTTATGAAATGCAACATACTCGGTACCATAAGTAACCACTGATATGGAGATCACTATCATGACATGAAACACTGGGCCGCTGTATTTTTAATGGAATGCAATAGTGTATATTATGAATATTAGGTTCTTTGGTTTTTAGTTTAGAAAGCTATTGCTGAGACAAATAAGCATGTGTAGGTTTTATGAAACTGTGGCTTTTAATTTTTCACGGAAAATACTTAGTCTCCTCAGGAAA